CCTGATGGAGAGAGACACGCCCCATAGGGGGTGTGTTTCACCAGATGGTGACACGTGGCACAAAAAGTCAATAATTTACTCGTAAAACTTTGAAAGTCCATAACTTTTGAATCGGGTGTCCGAATTAGTAAAAAAAATTTGATTCCATTCGAGATCTACGCAATGACACCTCCTTTGACATATTTTGTCTCTCACAAAAAAGTTTCATTTTATAATAATGATACTATAAGAATGTTTAAACCCAGATTAATAAAGAGAAAATCACTGTCATGATTAGAAATATTCCTAGTAAAGATCCTTATGATTATGGTACCAATGTTGCAAATTGAAATTATATTTATAGGAGAAAAACCTTCAAATTTTGCATAACTTTTCGAAACGAATGTGTTGGCAAGTTTGTCAAAAATATTTTCCAAAAAATGTTTCCTTGATCTCCGTTTTGCATATTTTATATATGTGAGTGTGAACGATGTTATGCAAAACGGAGTACAAGGAAGCATTTTTAGGAAAATATTTCTGACAGACTTGCCAACACATTCATTTCGAAAAGTTATGCAGAATTTGAAGTTTTGTCTCCTATAAATATAATTTCAATTTGCAACAATGGTATCATAATCAAAAGGATCTTTACTAGGAATGTTTATAATAATGACAATGGTTTTCTCTTTATTAATCTAGGTTTAAACGTTCTTATAATATCATTGTTATAAATTCAAACTTTTTTGTGAGAGACAAATATGTCAAATGAGGTGTCATTTCGTAGGTCTCGAAAAGTTGTGTGGAATCAATTTTTTTTATACTTAATTCAGACACACGATTCAAAAGTTATGGACTTTCAAAGTTCTACGACTAAATTATTGACTTTTTGTGCCACGTGTCACCATATGGTGAAACACACCCCCTGTGGGGCGTGTCTCTCTCCTAAAACACATCCCTTGTGGGGTGTGTCTCTCTCCATCGGGTCATGCCCCCAGTGGGGCGTATTTGAGTGTTATACATTTGTAAATGCATTCAAAACAACTACGTTTTTGTTGCGAAATCAGCAAGTATACCGTTCGTTTCAAGTAATAAAGTGATAAGTAGAGTATCGTTCCCACGAGGATTAATGCACCAAGTACTAGTTTAACTCTTCCCCTTAAGTTGGAAAATAAAAATTGGATTGGTTTGTGAAAGTAATTGATTTTGGAATTCAAAACAGAATTTAAAAACAATTAAATTTAAAGCAGGAAATTAATAACAATTAATTTTGAATGCATGCAAGAAGAAATCAAGAACGCGAGAAAATATTGATGAAAAATTTATAAAAAGGATGTAGCCATGACGCACTTCACCTCCGATCCTCCCTTATATTCCTATATTGTATTTTATAATTAATTAATTCGTTCGTTCAGACAATTCATTATTTCCCTATAAAATAGTTGAACCCTAATGTCTTAGTGATTTCAACCCTTTAACCTAATCAGAATTCTAATGTCTTAGTAATCCCTCTTGAATTAAGCATTAAGCAAATGAATTATGAGTCTGCCATTTATGTAAGCCTATGTCTAGATCATACACAAATTGTTATTCTACCCTTGTCCAGATTAAAACCCCAATATGTCTATTGTGAATTCTAACCCTCAAATCCCTATAATTTAGAGTGGCCAATTAAACAGGATATGGAAAAATTAATACAGGTAGAATAAAACAAACTAACTAATTAACTTATAAAATATCAATACAGAAAATATAAAGGATTCACATTGGGTCTGTGATCCCAACTACAAAAAGAAACTAGCCAGACATAGCTGGCTTAAACAAATTAAAAGAATAAAAATTGTTCATAAACTAAGAAGAAAAGAAGAATAAGAATAAAAACTCAATGTCTTCAGCCTTCAACTCCGGTGGAATCCTGATCTCCAGCGCGAGTCTCCAAGAATTCTCTCAATTCTCTGAGCCTCATAATCCTCTCCAGCCAAAGATGATTTTCTCTGGGAGTCTAAGCCTCTATTTATAGACTTTGTGTCTTGCTCAGATATCTTGATTAAATCTTCGCTGTAAATCTCTGTCTAATCTTCCGCTGATACAGAATAAGATTGATGTTGATTGTCCGCACCTCCCACGCTACTAACGTGGATCCCATGCTGATAGCGTGGGAGTTTTATTCACATTACTGGAAGTTCACGCAACTAGCGTGGTTCCCACGGTATCAGCATGGGTGGCAATATTGGCTGCCGCCACTAGGGCGAGATTCAAACTATGAGCATGGATGTCTCTGAATGAAATTTAATTCTGGCGCTACTAGCGCGATTTCCACGCTAGTAGTGAGGGGCTTCATCTTAGAAACTTCCAGTTGGGCTTCTTTTTGTCGTGTTTTGTAACAGCCCGTTACGTACCGGTAATGTTATCATTGCATATGGTATTAAGCGCAGTTACAATCACAGTAATTGAGTTAATTAAATTACGGGTAAACTTTTTCTTTTATTACATTCCTTTCTTTAAACCTTAACCATTTCCATAATCAATTAAAACAATGCCATAATTGTAAATGCAAAACTCGCGGAAGCATAAAATATACTCAACATCAACTCTCTAAGCAATACCATTCATTTTAGCTTTTAGAAAACACATTTTCAAATTTCAACACAGTGGTAATCGATTACCATCCTTGAGGTAATCGATTACCAAAGGTTACTGTAGAAGTCAGAACCTCAAATTGGGCTCCCCTGTTTTCTGGTAATCGATTAACAGAGATTGGTAATCGATTACTCTCTGGTAATCGATTACTGAACTAGGTAATCGATTACCAATGCTCTGGTAATCGATTACTTTGAAGACAGAAGCTCAATTTTTCGTTCCCTGTTGCAGGTAATCGATTACCAGTGAAAAGTAATCGATTACTATGCAGCAAAAATGACAGATGACAGCTTTTAAGCCCCAAAATGAGTGATGTAACATACTCCTAACACCTTGATGCTTATTATACACCTTACACAAGTATTAACGTAGACACTAGACCCTTCCATCATGCATATTTATTATGAATGCATCCATTACAACCATTTGCAATATCATAGCCATTTTACACAACCAATGGTCTATTTACAACTCAAGTCTTCCCATGCCTCAAAATACAATTATGTGGCCATGGACAAGTCCCATGCTCACTCAAAATACAAAAGTAACAAGAGGCATAACTATACATCAATTTAAAAGGACTTAACATATAGTCATAAATATACAAGAGCATGGCAATATCCCCATGCAACAAGTTCATAACCTAAGTCCACAATATTAAATACTATGCTATGTACATAAAATGGAATCTTTCAATATGTCATGCCCTCCAACTATGCATAGTAAAAGAGACATGAGATGATCTGCCTTTAGAGTCTGTAAATTGAAGATTCCTTATTTCGAATAAAGCTTACCCTAAACCGCAGGGGTTGATACGCTTCCTTACCCTAGGTTTTATGGGAAGGTAACCGAGACGAAAGGAAATATATACGGCAACCAAATATGTGTAATAGGATGATCAAGTCATTAATCTAACTAGTTCTGGGGCAACAAAGCATTGCTAGTGCTCTGTGTTGTCATTAGATGGGATGTGGGCTTATTGGGCCCAAGCCAATTTATGTCAGTGGCTATGTTAGACCTAATGGGTCACACACTAACACCTAATTGTCTAGATGCTCTAGCATTAAAGGTATTGGGCCTAACAATTGTTATTAGCCCAAGAAGTAGTTTGGAACTCCACAGATAGGGTGGAGGGCACATGGATCAAAGTAATGGGCTTGGATAGTCCAAGACATTACTAATTAATTTAATTAGTTAAATTAATTATCAAATGTTTAAATTTTGAATTTTGAATTTGAATTTTGAAATTTGAATTTTGAATTTGAATTTTGAAATTAGAATTTTGAATTTTGAATTTGAAATTGGAAAATTGAAATTTGTATTTTGAATTTTGAATTTGGAAATTTGAATTTTGAATTTGAATTTTGAAATTTGAAATTTGAATTTTGCATTTTGAATTTTGAATTTGAATTTTGAATTTGAATTTGAATTTAAAATTTAAGTGTTTGAAAGTTTGAATTCAAATGTTTGAAATTCGAATTTGAATTGGCTATGAAAAGTTGTTTCATAACAAAAGGATAAGATGAGATCTTGTTGGAACATATCAGGAGGAGATCTTTTGGACATAATCCAAGGATAATGGGGTGCTGATTTTGGCTAGATTTGATCATCAAAATCAGCTCCAGAAGATACGGTCTGTTGGAAGAATATTTGAGTGAGTTGATTTAAGTTTGAAATGCAACTAACTCAAATGTATCTGGTCACCTTTTAGGCTATATGGGGCACACCATATAGCTGATTATATGATGATTCATGATCAGATTTCTGACTAGGTTTTGAACTTAGTCTCATGAGAATATTCTGGGATGTTGTTGGCAATTTTTGAAATGTAACAACTGCGCTTATTCTTTCCCCAAGGGCACCACTTTTGATCAGATTTTTGGGAGAAAAATCTGATTTGTTTTTGAAACTTAAAAGGCTCCTCTTGTGTACTTAATGAGTTGTTAGTTCCTCCTTAGGTTTGTGTGAAAAGCCAAGCCTTTCTCTACTCATCTATGCGCCCCTTGTGAGGTTTTCTCTTACAACACTTCACTCTTCTAAACACTTTTACCTAGCCTCCTGCATCAAACACTGAGCGCATAGCAAGCCTTATTGTGGTGATCAATCGGCGGCCTTACTGGAAGGAGTTCCTGTATCTAGACGCGGGTGGTGTGGATCAACGTTAGAGGGTCTGAGCCCTTCAGACCTACCTTGATCATCTTGAGTTTTCACGAACAAGGTATGACATACGTCTTAAAGTATGTATCTTGATATGCATGTGTGTTTCGCTTGCGAAAAAAAATTTGTTTTTCCCTCACGCATGTTTCGGCCTTCAAGGCTAATTCTACTTTCAGCTTGATGATGCGCTTTGGGCATACAAGACTGCATTCAAGACTCCAATTGGTATGTCTCCATATCAATTGGTGTATGGGAAATCTTGTCATTTGCCTATTGAGTTAGAACATAAAGCTTTATGGGCTACAAAGTTCTTGAATTTCGAACCAACCAAAGCTCTTCAGAAAAGATTGCTGCAGTTGAATGAGCTAGATGAGTTTCGATTGTCTGCATATGAGAGTGCCCGAGTTTATAAAGAAAAGACCAAGAAATGGCATGATAAAAAGATCAATCTAAAGGAATTTGAGCCGGGACAACAAGTGTTGTTGTACAATTCTCCCCTGAGATTGTTTCTGGGCAAGCTTAAGTCTAGGTGGGCTAGTCCATTTGTGGTAAAGAAAGTATTCACTTATGGATCAGTTGAAATGTCTCCTTTAGATGATGATAGACCTTTCAAAGTCAATGGAGCTAGACTCAAGTTTTATCATGGAGGACCCATGAGGAGAGACACTAAGGCTTTGTCTCTCAAAGAAAATGACACTTAAAAGAGGTAACCGTCAGGCTCGTGACGTTAAACACGCGCTTATTGGGAGGCAACCCAATGTAGAGTTTACATTTCATTTTTTTTTCAAAAAAAAAGAGTGTCACAGTATATATGGCAGAGAAATGGCGCAACTTTGCTCTGCGGTGCAGTACATAGGCCAGGGGAATGGCGCGGTCTAGCGCCACAGTGGCGCGGATCCGCGCCAGTTGGTTCAAAATGAAACGCTGCATTTTGCAGCGGAGCCCTAATTCCCCCTTTTTTCCCTCTTCTTCTCACGCCGCCCCCCACCCCTTCATTTCTTTCAGTTTTTTTTTCACGTTTCCTTCTCTCCTCCTTTTCTCTATTCTTCTCTTCTCCTTCTTTATTCTTCTTCGATCCATTCTTCTTCTCCATTCCACTCTCACATTGATTTTTTTTATTGCAAACACTACACGTTACTCACACACCAAGCACATCTTCCACATATTTTTCATCATTGTTCATGGCACCCAAGGTAATTTCTTCATCTTTTTGAATTTGTTATTTTTGGTTTTATGAATTATGGGCATGATTGTATCTGAGTATATGTTGATATGATGTAAATTTTCATATCTATGATGAGTGATCTGTGTGTGGGTGTGAGAGTTTCATGTGAGTATTTTGAGAGTTTCATTGTGGGTGTTTGTGGGTTTTCATGGTCATATAATACTTCGTATAATATATGTAAATATCTGTGGTTGGAAATTTTGATCCATGCTATGATGAATATTTTGCTCGGTGATTTAGTTTGAGAGTAATTTAGGTATATTTTCTGTGATATAATATGATATTAAATCTGGGAATGGTAGGTATATGTGGTCTGTGATTACAAGAACTTGCATAAATTTCACCTTATGTAAAAACCTTTGCTAAATGATTTGATCTGAGATAAATCTGGGAATTATTTATGTGATATGATCTGATTGGTGTTATTTTCTATACCCTGTGTATTGGATTACTTTTCTGATTTTCAGATTTTCAAGGGTAAGAAACCAGCATGCGATGGGAAAAAGAAGCGAAAGATTTCTCATAATCTGGATGAGAGCAAATTTGTGAACATGGAAGCTCAGAATAGATACTACACTCTCTACGAAGACAAGGGCTTCATCCATGAGAGAAATATTGATCTAGATATGCCTGCCAATAATCCGATCATGAGGACCGTCATCAGAAGGCAATGAGAGGGTCTGGTTAATTATGCTGAACCAACCTCGGGCTCAATTGTCAAGGAGTTCTGTGCAAATGCAGAACTAGAAGATTTACAATCGACCAAGAAATCCTGGGTTCGAGGAGTTGATGTTCATTTTGATGCAGCCACAATTGAGTTTTACCTTCTGACCAATTTCAATCAAACTACTTCTTGTGAATATGTTTCCTTGTATAATAGAATGCTTCCCTCAAGACACAAGTTGTACAGAGATGACTTCCCTCAATTAACAGAGATGGTTGATGGTACGTAAATTTGTTCCCATCTAAGCCCATTTTGATGGCAAAATACCTTACGTTCCCTCATCTGATGAGCAAATTCAGCATGAAAATCACTTGTTTTACACATTTGTGACAAAAACAGTGGGGGAACGTATGATGATGTATTCCTTTAAAATATATTAAAAAGGGGAACAGACTGGGAAGCATTTAATGCACCTGTTTCACTCATTTAATGCCTCTGTCCCTTTTGCAAGAAACGTGGAGACAAAGTCTTCTAAAAGCAAAGGCAATGCACCACTTAAGCACCAGGAAACATGAAGAGCAGAGAATCAAGAGTTCTCATTGGCCAAGAAGAAAAGCAAGGCATGGGGGACTGCATAAAATGACTATTCATCAACAAATACTGTCCTAACAAGCAATTTGCAAAGCTTCTAAACACTGTTGCCACCGCCCGTCCCTTCATTCAAGAAACCAGCTCCAAAGGATTTACAAGACTGCCATTCCTTTTCTGCCTATAAATAGGGCGTCCCAAACACAAAAATATCATCGAATTATAAAGGGATTGAAGTCCTAAAAGAAGAGATCACCTAGTAGTAGTTAGTAGATTAGTTTTATATAGCTGTAACTGTAGTTAAGTGACAACCCTTCTTCTCTGTTCTGTATCATCCCCTAAGACTCCTCACGAGCATCAAACCACCTTCTTCATTTTTATGTTTTGTTGTAAACTGTCTTTCAATTTAATATAAGTGTTCTTTATAATGACCCTATATGGTAAATCTTAATTAGAGATTTAATTTAAGGATTTAAATGCCATAATTAGATTTAGTGAGTGATTCCGAGTATTTTGACTGTAATCATGACTATGTTATGAACAGTACGTTCTGCCGGAGAATTTACAGTTTTGTGAATTAACCGGTAGAGCTTAAAAGAGCAAAATAATTTTAGAAGCATAATTTGATAATTCTGACGACAAATATGAGTTCAGAATGAAAAATTGTATAGTCTGGCACTTTCCGTGAAAATCTCGTGAATAGTGTTTCTACCGGGTATTTTGTACTGCTGTTTAAGCAACCGGTAGAGTCCAGAAATAAATAATTGATGAAATAAGAATAAGAAAGTCCAATATATGCCAAGCAAGTCAATATAGGCCCAAGAAAATGATAAGTTTATAAGTGTTAAGTTTCAAAAGTAAATAAAGTACAGTTAGTGGTTCACAGTGCATTTCGTCAAAAACGGTGCAGAAACCATACTGTGAATTATGAATATTGTTCCTTAGGAAATAAAAAATTAATGTAAATGACTTTAGAAAAATAAAAATATATTTGTAACTTTGAGTTAGTTCCGGGTTAGTTTAAGTGAAAATACGCGAAAGAAAAATACCCGGGTAAAAGGCCACATGTGCTCACCTTTTTAAGTCACTTAAGCTTCATTTCCAAATAAAATTCTCTCTCCTCTCCTCACTCCAAACCCGAGCTACACCAGGAAAAAGGGGGGGATAGGGTTTTTTTTTTTGATTTTGTTGATTCTCTTTGAATCTTCCACCAAATCTAATGACCCACCACATGAAATCGATTAGGAACTACTCAACGAATCCATTGCACCTATCCATTTGAGCTATAGTTGAGTGTGTGAAGAGTTATTCCTCCTCTCATTTTCGAGTTACTATTCGTTGGAGGAGAAAAAGTGAGTTTTTGATTAAGTTTGGCTTGGAGATTGCTCTCTAGGCTTTGTACAAGTGATTAGAGGTAAGAAACCTCTACTTCCATGATATTATTTTGATGAATTAAGTCATGAAATCTATGAGCATGTGTGGGTAGGGAATAATTGATTTTAGAAATTGAAATTGATAATGGTTTGTTGTTGTTTAGGAAGTTATATGGTAAAGTAAGCATCAACAAGTAATAAAAAATTGAAAAGCCCACGGTACTTCCCTCCCTAGGTTTCGGCCATGATGGGTCACATAGGGTGCATTGTGCAAAATTTTATTTGATATATTTAGAGTGTCTAATGTGTTGGAGTGAGTAGGAATTTGGTAAATTAGTGTGAAGGCCAAAGGGGAAAAAAAATCCTTTGTGTCTTGATTCCCTATGTTTCGGCTATGGAGAGTGGTGAGGGACTTGATGTCCCAACATGAAGTTGGAACAATATGGAAATATACATTTGTATGTGTAAGTTACATGTAATTAAAAAGAAAAGAGCCCTTGCCTATTCCTTATAGAGTTCGACCTATAGGGTATTTAGGAATATATTTTGTACATTTTATTTTAAATAAAATGTGTTGTAATAAATTGTATAAAAGTGATGAGTTTTGAAGAAAAATAGCATGAATTATGTTGAAAATTCCAAAGGAAATGGGTGATTAAATTAAAGAATCCAAACGAGTATAAGGTGGTCTAGACTTGTGTATTGGCATAACATTGGCAAAAACGTAAAGAAACGAAAAGAAGCGATAAAATGTATGCCTTATGTGAAAGCTAGGAATGATGGCATTTTATTAATTTGTATTTGTGGATTCTTGCTCTAGGTGTACCTAGGGACTAAAAAGGAATCAAAATCTCTTGAAGATATATAAGTAACTTGAGCCACAAGTAAGCTGATTGTTAAAGCTTCAAGAGGTAAGCTCTATGTTTAAGGAGTCTTTTCCTGCTTGAGTGCTCCACCATGGTTAGTGAACTATGGTTGGACTGTATGACTGTTATTAGATGCTTTGTATAGATGCATTCATATAGAGTTATTTGATAACATGATTTGTTTTGCTCTGATATGACTTCTGTAATATGATTTCTGTAACAATCTCTGGCCATTGATTGTATAGTACCCGGATGTCCGCTTTGGGGTCCTCCCTCGGGACTGATGGTGTACACCTCTGATATGTCTGGTTCCGCTTTGGGGTCCTCCCTCGGGAACATATGCGTTGATTTCCGCTTGGGGTCCTCCCTTGGGAATGACGACGCACACCTCTGATATGATATGGATAAATGCTCTGTTCTGTTATATGTTGTATTCGTATACTCTGTATCTGACTTTCGTGCAGGAGTGAGCCAGGGGTATGGAGAATTCTCTATAAACCTGGAGCTTATTGAGATTTGTAATCTCACCCCTCTTTGGGGACATATTTTCAGGTGCCCAGATTCTCGGTGAGTCCTCACTAGGCAGGGACACGACACGTGACTGAGGCAGTTGATAAATCGGATTTTGAGTGGCTGTAGGCTACTACCTTTTGGAGTGTTTGATGTCTTTTAGTATTTCCGCATTTGATGGATCACGATATTGATCCTTTATTTTGTATATGGCCTGTATATGTTTTGTACATGTCTGTCACTTGGATGCATGTACATTTGGGTATTCAGGCACGTTATATGATGATGTATTATGCAGTTTATGATTTCGTATTGGATTGCATGTTGATTAGGATAGTGGCACGGAGCCATATTTTGCATGCGCCCATGGATGGGTATCTGATTGTATCTGCATGACTGGTACTTCTGGATTACTATGTTGTATAAACTGTTTATCAGGAAATGCTTCTGAGTGGGATTGGAAAATCCCCAGTTG